GTTTTGTCCAAGAAAACCCAGCAGATTGCATCGAGTCATTGACTTGCAGTATTCACTTTTCCTAGATGAGCATGTAGGGACAGTGGATAGTCACTGGCTTTGAGGCAGTCCCTCACACTGGCCATTCATGTTGCGAAACGTGAGGGGAAAGTTTCCCTTAAACAAGAAGAAACCCAACTAAAAGATGTGAGGCTCTCCATGAAACGCATCATCAAGGGATTTTTCTTCAGCCGGTACTGAATGTTTGCGTCCATTCTGCTGACAGGTACGAGGCAGCCTGTCTACTGCTGGTCTACGGGGTCTACATCGTGGTTCTGTGCTTTGACCTCCGCATCAGCGAGTTTGTCCTGAGGAAGCTGAGCCCGTGCTGCACCTGTCTGGGTTCAGGTTCTGCTGAGAAGCGTGAGACGCAGCCCCTGATGGGCTGGAACGATACCAGCCTGCGAGTCCGTGGTCGCTCCAGAACAGACAGCGGCATCTTTCAAGACGACTCGGGGTACTCTCACCTGTCGCTCAGCCTACATGGTCTCAATGAGATTACTGAAGGTACAAAATACAAGGCCTTCTCAGCACGATGTCTTTGACTGCAGCTCTAATCCCGTGTCTCAGATCTTATTGTCAATCTTCATCCCAACAGAGCAAAGAAGCGTCTTTGCTGTACCGGAGAGTGACGTGAAAAGGATCTTGTGGGTTCTGTCTCTGCCTGTCATCATTCTGCTCTTCATCACCATCCCCGACTGCAGGAGACGCTTCTGGAAACAATGGTTCATGATAACCTTCTTCATGTCAGCAGTCTGGATCTCTGCTTTCACATACGTGCTGGTCTGGATGGTCACAGTTGTAGGTAAGTTGCCCGTTTTAAGGTGACCTCAATACAATTTTGGAAGGTCCTCACTTCATTTCAGTGTTGTGTAAAGCATTTCTCAAAATGTAAAATTAGACTACCCAAATTCACAACCCATTATCATTCTGTACTCCATAGTTGTGTGTTTTCAGTATAAGGAAGGCTTGAACCAGCAGGTTCTGTAGCAAACCATAGTGGATCACAAGTGTTTGAGACTTGTGAGAAAAACGTCTACTTTGCAGAGTCACATGTGGGTCTGCTGGTTAATTCCTGAGATGCCATTGTCCCAGAGAATGAGGGTTACTACAGTGTAGCTCCAGTGGGGTGTGAGCCAAACCAGTCATAGAAGGATTACGACCCTGATTAAAGAAAGTCATGTGAGTGCCGAACGTACACACAATACCCGGCAAGTGTTTCATGAACAGATTCAGTCTTTATGTACAATAGGAATGTGAACTGCAAAGCTGAACCAAGACATTAGGACAGATGCCATTTGAGAGCCATAGGTCTCCTGAAGCATAATGAGATTAGTATCCCATCAGATAAGAACACACTTAAGACAAAAGAGCACGGACAATAATTATGTACGTTTTTTTAAAACGAATGAACTGCAAAACTGATTTCTTCAGATTATAGAGACAGCAAACTATGAAGACTGATTACATGGATGAATGTTCTTTTAGATATCATGCCCTGGAAGAGATTCAATAAGATTTATGGTAACTCCTTCAAAGCCTGCTTTTGTTGGTGGAGATGTAATCTGAGTTCTTTTCACAGGTGAAACCCTTGACATACCCGACACAGTGATGGGACTCACTTTACTCGCTGCTGGAACCAGTATACCAGACACAGTTGCCAGTGTGATGGTGGCTAGAGAAGGTAATACTGTCCAAGAAAAACCGAGCCAATGGGAGCGGAACCAGAACAGCATCCAACCACATTTTCTGCTTTTCAGGGAAAGCTGACATGGCCATGTCCAACATCGTGGGCTCCAATGTTTTTGACATGCTGTGCCTGGGCCTGCCTTGGTTTATCAAGACTGCCTTTGTGGACACCAACACCCCAGTAGAGGTCAACAGCACTGGCCTGATCTTCATTTCAGCCACGCTACTTCTCTCCATCGTCTTCCTTTTTGTAGCGGTGCACATCAACGGATGGAGGCTGGACTGGAAGTTGGGAATTGTCAGTCTTATTTGCTACATCCTCTTTGCTACTCTGTCCATTTTATACGAGATGGGGATTATTGGGAATAATCCCATACGGCTGTGCAGTGACTGAGGCCTGACCTTTTTAGGACTGAAGACATTTTCTGAGGCCAACGGCCCCCAGCACCCACCAAAAATGTTAAGCTGTCGAGATCAACAAATGTCAAAGAGCAAAGCCACCAGTTACAAAACTACCACACAAGCGGATGCATGATTGGTTACCTCTTTAGATCTTTACTATGCAAGATTTTAACAAAAGTTCAAATAAACATGTCCAAAAATAAACTGAACATCCTAAGAAGTATCAGCTTCTTGTGTCGAGTCAGAAATGCAGCCTGATAAGGTTTTATCACCAGGGAGGACAAGCCATAAATAGTAAAAAATTTCCATTCATCCTGTTATAAACATCCTAAACTCTGACACAGTCATTCATGTTTATGACTAAAAGTAAAAATCATCAAGCAATGATTAAAACAATGGGAATTTATCCCCCCCCACTTCCTCAAATGTACAAAACTTTACATCTACTAGTGTCCTGATAAATGTCATTACTAATTTGAAACTGACACACAAGGGCGTTGAGAAATGACACTCAAAAGACGAAAATCTTAGGTCCAGCTTACAAGTTGAAGAAGTTTCCAAGCACACAGTTTAAAAATTAAAAAGTTTATTTATTCAAATAAACTGACAAATCATAACTCGGTTTATAAAACAAAGGTAAAACAGCTATGTCGTATACCAACAAAACAAATGAAATCAGGGAAACATGAAGTCATAGTGTTTTTAAAACAAAACAATGATTGGTACGGGTGTCTGAAAGTGTAAAGTGAGTTACGAGGGGGTTTCTACAAAATCTCTAAGCGTTGCGATCAATGCGGACGTCCACCTCCCGGCCGTTGATCTTGGTTCCGTTCATCATCCTGCAGGCCTTCTCTGCGGTCTCTGGAGAATCAAATTTCACCGTCCCGCAACCCTTTGACCTCCCATTTTCCATTTTGATTTCTGCAAACAGCACCTGACCTGCAGGAAACAAGAATCAGCAATGACCGAATGACGCAACTAGCATCAATTAAAAATGGTTTATGTTAAGGCTGAATAGAAGACTAGTTAGTTCTTCGGTTAATCGCATTGAAATGTCAAAGCATCAAACCATAAATTTAATTCATACCACAGTGACTGAACTTGTCTTTCAGCTTTTGCCACGTCAGGTCATAGGACAGCTGCAACACAGATTTATCAATCAGCATATAGCAAAGAACAGAAAGTAGAGATGCACCAATGCTTTCAAACAGAGATTAAGATTAGCTCATTTTCAATTGATCAGCTCGGGACAGGAAGGTCAAATACTGAAAAATCAGACTCCCTGATCAGTACACCTCAAACATATAAGTGCTACGAACATTAATAAAGTGGTAAAAAATAAAAGAATCATTTGGCTGAAAGTTTCATTACTAATATTCACTAAATGAGACTTTAGCAGCTTTTGGCCACACTTACATTTCGCACAAATATCTGGCAGCCACCTTTGGACCCTGAGCCCCTGTCCGACATGCCTCCACCCATGTGTCCGCCACCTCCGTAGCCTCCAAAGCCACGGTTCATGTCCATTCCCGACATGCCTACACGGTCGAAGCTGGGGCCCATTCTGTCCATGGACATGCTGCCCATTCCACCACCTGTTATACAGGAGCATGAATGCTTTACCAAGGAAATGGATTCCAGCAGTGCACCATCTTTATGATTTATATGACTGGGATTTTAGCACTAAATATCATTGGGAAGTGACCAAAAAGCTTTTTATTCTATTTGAAATAACCAGACCCCACTGAAGCTAAAAGGATACTTTAGTTTGAAACATAATAAAACATGAATAAAAATGCAGAGGGATGGAAACTGTCAGACAAATTGGATTGTTTTGCAATTTGCAATGAAAACGTGGCCATGAACCACACTAAAGCTAAAAAGTCAAGAGTTTAACATGGCATAATGCTTAAATGACTTTCATAAATATATTTATTTCAAGTTATACATGACCCAACAGGTTGTTTCGGATTCTACTGTACAGGATTGTGCTTTATATTAATATGAATTTAGATAGAGAGTTGTGAAACATTCAAAATAACTGGTTTGAGTTCTTACTGTACCTAAGCCACTTCCCATGTGTCCCATGCCTCCTCCAAAACTACCACCTAAAGGAGAGAAGGTACATTGGTCCATATTTAATTCATTTAACAGGTAATTTACACAATAAGTTAGGTGTGATGAAAAATTCAAAGACGTCATGAGACAAATAAATTAATAAATGAATATGAAATCGACGGATGAATTTCACTCTTACCCATTCCTCCAAAGGAATCCGCAAATCCTCGGCTCATGGGCATGTCAAAGTCCCGATCCAGTCCGCCCATTCCTGATCGATACAGATCCCCACATGTTAAAACCTTCCCTCAGCCTGAAGTGGCTTGTATCTGTATGTGACTGAACTGACCCTAATCTGTGTGCATTTTGAGTGAAAATGCCCTCTTACCTCCCATTCTGCCAACTGGCGCCATGTCCCTGCCTCCAAAGCCCCCCATGCTGCCCATGCTGTCCATGCCGCCGTAGCCTCCACTCCCACTTATTCCTGTTAAAAAGAGCATTAAGTGGGATCAGTTTAGTCGTTAACAGGGACAACTAAACTAAACCCTATAAACAAAATCTTACCTCCAAGCCTGCTCATTCCTCCGTAACCTGAATCCATACCTGTGGCAGAAGAACGTCTCAGTGAGGCTACATCAAAGCGATGCACAAAAACCTACGCATTTATAAAAACCTTCTTTAAGGTAGTTTGTAAATAGGAACAGCAGCATTGTCACAGTATGAAGGAACTAAAACATGTGTTTGACTGACCTCCAGGTCCCATGGAGCCCATTCCTCCTCCACCACTAAGGCGGTTTGCATTTATGGGCTGCCCTCCCGGCCCCAGACCCATGCCGATGCCACCCAGGCCCCCTGAAACATCAAAAAAAGAAAAAGAAAAAAAAATCCCATGAAAAAAGGTTGAAATTTAAAATCATCCACCCCTTTCATGATGTTTTGCACTTCAAAGATCACAATGAAAATGTCCTGCAATGGTGCTTTCCGTTTACCAACCTCTCTAATATTTTCAACATCTACATTAGAATTTTGTGAAGTAAAAACAGAGCAAAAGACTCACTCACGTGGCAACTGTGGTGCTTTTTCTACTGGAAGGAAATCATCAGGAGGAAGAGACTTTTCATCCTACAAGTTCATATACAAAATGTTAAATTGTTTATGATCTCTGCCAGAGTTTAGAGGCAATAATTTCAAATAAGATTTAAATTCGACATACAATTTTAACGTGCATCTGCCTTTCAAAGAGCATCTGGCCGTTGAACATGGCTGAGACAATAGTTAAGGACAAAAGTAAAATGAGATATTTGAAGGTTGTGTTTCTTTTTTTAAAATAATATTTAGGTTTTAAAGGATACATATGGCCTGCACAGCTTCCAGAGGCTGATCAAAAGTAACCGTTCCCATTCCACGACTCTTCCCGTCTTTGTCCTCCTTTACGTCAGCTCGCTTCACCACACCTGCCATGCTGAACACCTCCTTCAACTTCTTCCAGCCCACTTTGAAGTCCAGCTGCAGAACACAAGCACAAATGTACCTTAAACTAAACCTTTGTTTTACTTGGAAGGGAGCAAAGGCCCGTGGTTCTGATCTTACGTTAGCCACAAACACGGTGTTCCCCAGTCTGCCGGCCTGCAGCGCGTGGATGACCTCTGGCGGGATGTTGGGGTTGTTGGCAATCGAAGGAGGAATGTTCATCCCACCAGGCACCATGTCCTGCCCACGACCCCCATGCTGACCTCCTCCCATGCGCTGCAGAGCACGCCGGGCGTGTTCACCGTCGTAGTCCTTAAATACAAAACATGTTTCAAGACAAAAACAAACAAATGAAAGCATAATCTACAACTAAAGGCTTCAAGTTTAAACTTAATGTCACTTGGCAAAAACTAAATAAATCAATTATAATTATAAATATGTTTCGTTATGTAGACTAAGGGTGACAAAATAAAGCTGAAAAAAATCATTCAAAATTTTACATGCAGCCTTTTATTACACTGGATGTAACTTGATAACCTCGCTGTTGAAGGATGGAGATCGTCACTCAGGGAAAAGAAATTTGGAAACTGCAGCAATTTTCTATGAGGACATCGACAAAGTGGTCTGAAGAGCAATCCGTCATGTGGAGATCAGTTTATACAACATCAACATGATCCATATTTCGCTGCAGATTCCACTGCAGCTACAAAAAGGCTAAACTGATGGAATCAGACTCTGTTTTTATAAACACAAACAAAAGTTTTAGCCATAGCAACTCTGGTAGTTTATTTATATTTGTGTTTGAAACCTGGTCCTTAAAAGAAAAAAAAGAGGAAAGACTTTAATAAGCTTCTGACATTAATAGAATCTTAGAATTATGCATAAAATATTAACTTATGCAGCTATCATTTCTAGATTTAAATACTCTACATGATTAAACATTTACAATCTTTAAATTTTTCTATATTTTGTTCTTGTGCACCACTATAGCTTTATGTATCGTTACACCCACATTGCAAACTTAACTTCAAACTTGAAATCTGTTATGGCCGGAGACAATTAAATCAGCTCACAATTATTTCCCCTTAAATTAAGACGCTACTAAAAGTAAACCATGAAAACATTTGGTTAAAACCCATCACAAATAAAATGTTTAGACAGAAAATAATTTACGCTCACCTCTTTGATGTTGAGCGGTCTTCCACTCAAGTCATGCTTATTCATAGCTGACACGGCTTTTTTAACATATTCTTCATCTTTGAACTCTACCACACTGTTATAAGCAGACAACAGGAAACATTTGTTTTTGTTTTTTTTTAAAGGGAAAATAAAAAAATTAAAGATAAGTCTGGAAATATAAAGTAGATTCTTACCCACAACCCTGATCAGAAAGCAGCAGGAGAATCCAGGTGGCACCCAAGGAGTAAACAAAATACATTTAATATCATGTTTAAAGTCAAATGGAACAAAATATATGTAGTGTACGCATCAACATGGTTTCAACAACATTCAGAGATGTACTGTCAAACTATGTAGATTGGTTTGAGCTGGAGGTTTGAGCTGGAGGTTTTTGGTTGTGTTTGTTGAAAACATTAAAAGCATCATTTTATAAATACTGAGCTCATCTGTGATAATATGCAGTAGAGTTTTAATAGTAAACAAGACATTTTGGTTCAAATTCATTTAAAAAGGCATTCATATGCACAGCATATTACTATCAATTAAAGCCTTTACTCTGCAACACAATTACATTAACGAAAAAATTATTATAGCA